ACAGAAATACTTTACAGAAATATTCCAGTTCTTTTTCATCCAAAATGAATTAAAGCTCAGATGCATTAGTCACAGTAATTCCCACTGCAGAGGGAAGCCGGGATAAATACTGTAATGTAGTGTCAGGAAAAGTTAAAAATACACAGATTAATAATTAGGAAACTTGCTAAGTTTCCTCACCTATTCAACAAATTTTTTAAAAGCTACACTACTGTACCTTTCGGAAGTTTTTTCCTCAAAAAGGGCAACAAAGGCATGTATCAGTTTTACCTCCTAAACAAATGGGTATTTAATTCTACTATTTCCCCTTTAAAAGATAAGCTACTTCTGAGAAGATTTATAACCTCTGCCAATCTGGTGCCACTCCTTGATGGGGATGATCAAACCTTAAAACATCCCAGGAGAACAATTAAACGTATGAAACCTCCCCCCAAACAAATAAAGAAACGTAACATCTTAGGAAAACTACCGTATTTCCGGGTTCACTGCCAGGAAAAGGGAGATCAAGGAAAGGCATGGCGTGGTCCTTTTGCTACTTCTTGATCTTTGTTTTACATTGATCAGCCCTTCTCTTTGTTTCTCTCCAGATCCCATTCATGGCAAATTAAAAGAAGAGAGCCCTCACCTGAAGGTCTGATCCGGCCTTCTAGTGTCGTCCGCTCTGTAGCCTTTTTTCTTGCTCAACTGGTCGTACTAAGTAAATTTTTGGAATTCCTGGGAGGTGGGAGGCTCCGTAGTGAGGGGTGGGATTAGAACCCTGATGATTCTTTTTGGCACTTTGGACCTTGGCTGTTGTAATTTAAACAAATCTTTCCCACAGCAGCTGGAGAGCGTCAGGCAAACTCAGTTCACAAAGTTCCTTTGTGGGCATAAAAAGATTTTAAGTTCCATTACCGAGATAAAGGGACAAATGAACTTTGCAACACCCCTGTCAAGGAGCAATTATTGGATTCAGGTTGCACATCAGCATAGGTTTCAAAGACACCCATATATTTCCTTGGGGTGGGGTGGGGGGACTCCAGCTGAATTGTGCAAGTATTATTGTAAAAACAGGGTCAAAAATCGGAATGCGCCCTGTAGCACCTTTTTAAAATTATCCTTACAATTTTGAAAAGAAATATAACAGCAAAAGATGTTAACTGATGTTAAATTATATTTCTTAATTATGGGACATCGTTTTATGAAAAGTACTGGGGCTTGCAAAAAAAAAAACCTTACAAAGATGGAAAGAAAATCAGCTTCCTGATGTTTAGCAATGGATTTGAGATACGTTTGTTACTTATTTATGAAATGTCATTATATTCTAAAAATAAAAAGATGAAATGATATGTTGATATATGCTGTAGATTTAACAGTAAGATTAAGTATTACATTCAATTATATGAATATTTATTTTTCAATTTCTATTTCTGCCCATCTCAGTTAATGACTCTGGATAGCTTACAATTATGTGCATGTGTGTGTGTGAGTGAGTGTGTGTGTGTGCATAAATTAAAATGCTGAAAACATTTTGTAACAATAAAGACAAAAGAAATATATCCTGACACTATGTGGATCTTATTACTTTTTGTTGTTGCTTTTATTATTTTATATTAATCACTATAAGTATGTAGATTTTTTTATATTGTATGATCATTAGTATATTTTGTGGCTTGATATTTTTTAAATTAAAACTCTACCTAATCTAAAGTTAAAAAAAACCAAATCACAATAGGCCAATTTATTGTGTAAAATTTTTATAGCATTGAGCCGAAGCCTCTCAACTTAATTCAAAGTAGCTGCTTCAGTTTGGACTCCGATTCTTGTTTACCTGGGATTTAAAACCCGTGGAAGTTGATTGGAATTCCTTATGAAAACCTCTCTATGGAGCTGGTCTGTTGGCTCAGCATCTGATAACTGAAGCTAAAGTCAAAGTACAAACATGATCCTTAACTTTAGCAACTGGAAGTTTCTGGAAAGGAACTCCCACAGAATTATCCTCTGGAATACAAGGAACTCATTTTTCTTCACATTTTAACTGGCTCTGCTGTTGTATTTACAGGACCACTGTGGCGTGCAAAAATTAAGTATCCAAATTAGTATTTATCAAGTCAACTTTGGCAACTTTTAAGATAACAGAATAACACAGTTGGAAGGGATCTTGGAGGTCCTCTAGTCCAGGGGTCACCAACCTTTTGGACCTCAGGGATCACCAAACTCACAGTTTTAAATCCCAGGGACCACTAACCGGTTCTGTGGGCGTGGCCTAATTTGTGGGTGTGGCTTGGTGGTCATGTGACTGGCTGGGCATGGCTTGTATGTAAATATTATAAATATTTATATAAATATTGAATTTTTTTATAATTTTTTTTTACCCAAAATCAGGCAAAGCAGGCAGGCAGATCGAGTTGCTCACAGAATCTGATTCATTCAGAGATCTATCTATCTGCCATCAGCTAGCTCAGTCTGTCACATAAAATTTGCTTGCAAGCAAACTCATAAAATTTGCTAGCAAGAAAACTCACAAAATTAACTCACAACACAGCATGTATGTAACTTTTACCCAAAATCAGGCAAAGCAGGCAGGCAGATTGAGTTGCTCACAGAATCATTAGTGATCTATCTATCTGCCATCGGCTAGCTCAGTCTCTCAAATTTGCTTGCAGTGACTCTGCACTGAATAATAGAACTTTCAGTCCTAAGGGAGGTTCGGCTGTGCTTAAAAGCAGAGCCAAAGATCTAAAGACTATCCAACCATTTCCTGCTTCCAAGCTAATCTAAATCTCCCGGCACAGCAGAACAGATAATGGTCAGAAAAATAGCAATTTAGCAGGCAAATTTGCAGGGTGAGGAGTGAGTAGGCAGAGAGGGTTCCCGTGAGCCATGTGGGCGGTGCAGCCTTGTGATTCTACGCAGCCTGGATTGCTTTGGGGAGGTGCTCTGGGGGTGAGATTTCTCTGCAGCCCACCAAAATTTTCTCGCGGCCCACCAGTTGGTGACCGCTGCTCTAGTCCAGCCCCTTAGGCAGGAAACCCTATATCATTTCAGACAAATGGTTGTCCAATTTCTGTTTAAAAACCTCCAGTGTTGGAGCACTCACAATTTCTGGAGGCAAGTTGTTCCACTGATTAATTGTTCTGTCAGGAAATTTCTCCTTAGTTTTAGGTTTTGCTTCTTTCCTTGATTAATTTCCATTGCTTCTGCCCTCAGGTACTTTGGAGAATAGGCTGACCACGCTCTTCTTTTCATTAAACTCGACATATCCAATTCCTGCAACCATTCACCTAAACATCTTTGTTGCTCTTCTCTGTACTCTTTGTGCAGGCATACTAGTTGGACAATTCTGGGAGTTGAAGTCCACACATCTTAATATTGACAAGGTTGATAAACACTCGCCTATATAAACCTGTATGCTTAGTTGCTATTAAAAGCATGACAACTGGCTCAGAGCCAATTTACAATAGAGGATCACAAACCAGATTTCAGCCATAGCACATTGGAAACAGCTCAGCCAGGATATTTTGCCTGGGGATCATGGGAGATCTGCAAGTAAGTCTGATCAAGAACTCCCCAATTTCTTCCAAGTTGAACTCAATCCTGATGACTTTGTGGCCACGTTAGGATTTTTTGTGTGTGCAATAATACAGACTCTTGTGGCCTTCTTCTAGGACATTTTCCAGCTTCACCCAGGAGGATGCTGGAAATCTCCCATCCAAGCTAAGGTGTTCCTGACACTGCAGTGCTGAAATCTGCGTGAGATTTATTTGATCTAACTTATCCAGGGTCTACATGCAGAGTTTAAAACACGCAGGATCTTAATAAAAGTTTTCTGGGAAAAAGAGAAGGAAAAAATGAATTATTCACACCCAACACACCATTCAGTACTTGAGAACAACCACATTCCCAATATTGCTGATCTACAACTCCAGCAACCCTCAGGCTTGGACCTGCTTCCAGGGAATGCTGGGAGTTGTAGATCAAAAATACTAGGAATTACAGAGGTTAACCAACCCACAGCACCAATGTACTAACATCTGATATTCTCGACTCTCTTCAAAATGCAAGTGCCTTAGCTGGGGATCCCACATCTCCTTCATGTTGACTCCTGAAGTCTTCCCTCCCTCTGTTACTAGTTGTTAAGAAAAGAAAATTTTAATTATTTTATTGAAATTGACACTTCTTTGGAGAGGGCAATTCAGCCTGCAGAGTTTCTATGGACTAGCAGTATGGGATGGCTGTAAATTATTTAATAGGGAACTAAACTTCCAATAGAAGAAAATTAAGTGAACCAAACTTTTATTTTTCTCCCCACTTGAATGTATAAGAAGTAGGTTTTTTTAACTCCACAAACTGAAAGTTTCCAAAAGTGTTTCTACAATCTCCTCCCAAAATTTATCTAATTATTTAAAATTGTATTTATCCTGCCTTTATTATTTTCACAAATAGCTCAAGGAGGCAAACATATCCCACACAACTTCCTCTTATTTTCCCCACGAGACAACCGATCAGACAAGCCACTTGTCTGAAATGGTCTAGGTGGGGTCACTTGCTTGAGCAGGGGGTTGGACTAGAAGACCTCCGAGGTCCCTTCCAGCTCTATTCTGATTGATTGAATGAATTAAAGCAACTGGCCCAAAGCTACCCAGCTAGCTTTCAAAGCTAAGGCAGAATTTGAACTCACGGTCTCCCGCTGATTGATAGAAAAGGGGGGAAATGGATGAAAAGTGGAAATAAAAGGCTTGTGTTGAGGCCATGCCTGCAGCAGATTACAGAAAAACTTCTTTTAAAATCTTTTCTCCCCTCCCCCCAGATATTCCGCATACTAGCCTTTGTTTCCATCTACTGTATTGTTTTCTTCCTTTCACTTAGATCTTCTCTGATTGGATGAGATCAGGCGCACATCCCCGCCCCTCTAACTTCCTTCCTTTTCGATTGGTTGGGATACTCGGCGTGTGTTTTGATGGCTTCCGTCCACCGCGGCTGCTGAAGTCATTACCCTGCTACCCAATGAGAGCCTATTGGACTGCCGCTTGTTGATTGACGGAGAGATTGGCGGGTGAACCCGGGGGAAAAAAAAACCCCGGGATCTACCGTAGCTGGCGTGTTTTTGAGGTGCGTGCTCGCCTTGGAGTGGTTCGCCGTCTGCGATCGGCAGAAATCCAGGTGGGTTTGAGTGCTGTTCTTTTTATTCATTTAGCACCAAACAGACTGGGGTATGGGGGTGTTTAACTTCAATAATTGCACAGAAAATGAGATTTCACCCAGTGCTTGATTGAATTTCATGGAATTTATGGCTACCGAATCTAGTTTTCAAAACTCTCTGCAAATTCTAAAGGGCAGTAAGAAGTTAACCTCTCTGTCGACATCTAATGATCGTCCTGAATTTTGCAGCCCAGATTCAGGAGTCACGGTTATCATCATTATTATCATTTGTCTGCTATCCTTAAAAAAATAGGATATAGAAGAGGGGAGAAGAAATCAGCCCAGAATTTAGCAGTTCTGTAGTTTCTAGGCTGGAATTGATTTAGAAAAAGAAGCATATTTTGCAGTGGTGAAAGATGAAACTCTTGGAGCGAGGATTTATCTAACCCAACTTCTGATTCCCCAGAGGGTCCAGCTAAAGACTTGAGAAGTCTGTAGGATCTGAAAGAAAAAGCCCTTAGAGAGTTTTGGCTCAGGTTGTGCTAAATGGTGGTTTGTTCATCATGGTTATTGAACAAACCATGGTTAACTGTGATGATATCATTGGCCATGATTTACCAACCACAGTACTATACTTGATATTAGTATGGTAAGCCAAAACCAAACCTCCAGTGGCAGAGAAATCTATGGGTATTCAGTTTCCTTCAGGTGTTTTACCTCAAAAGCTACTATGGATTGTTTTCATGTCCAAATCTTATGAGGACATAAGGATTACGTTTCCATGAATTGGAGAAATTTAGAAATTGGTATGAAGTTGGATTTTTACTGTCTTGGGAGCATTTTGCAACCTCCTGATAAGCAAAGGAGTCAATGGGAAAGCCAGATTCACTTAACAACTGTGTTACTAATTTAACAGCTGCAGTGATTTACTTGACAATTGTGGCAAGAAAGATATTTAAAATGGGGCAAAATTCACTTAACAAATTTCTGGCTTAGCAACAGGAATTTTGGGCTCAGTTGTGGTTATAAGTCGAGGACTTCCTATATTGATCTTTATGTAGAAAATGTGTTACAGAGAATGTTTGAAATAGTATCTCTTGTTTTTGGCAAGCCACTTTATTAAACCCTTCCCTTCCTTCAGGTGTAACATCATCATGGCATCATTGGAGAGGGACAAAGGGAAGGAAAAGGACTCAAATGCCCTGTTTCAGGCCACTATAGGCAAGGAAGGGAGGACAGCCTGCCAGACATGCAAACATGAAATGTGTGTGAATCCATCTGACTCTCCGCAGCACATGGCAAGCAGTGCCCATGACAGCATCACAGAGTCTTCTGGGTCCCAGACTGGCCAAGAACGTAGAGTTTCAGAGGACTGTGGTCTTGGAAACACCATATTCAAGAGGAAAGAGGTGAGAGAGAGCTTCTGTATTGTATTTGCTCACCCATAACCCTTTTCTGCATCTCCACATCTATTTTATTGAGATTTTCATGTATGTATCTGTTTTATTTATGCATCTCCTTCATCCTTAGTCTCATCTTCAAGAAGTTCGTGAGCCTTTTTTGATCCTAAGAATCTCTTGGGAGGCTATAAGAATTATTTAAAGCCACAGTTTTGGAGAAAGTGAATGACAGAGTTCACGTGTCGTGCTAAGCTGTTTAGGCATAGTTTCTTGAGTAATTATAATTTCCTGGCTGCTTGCAAAAACACTATGCTTCGGCCAAGCCAATTATGCAATTACAACAATTAATCAGTGGGGCAACTTACTGTTATGAATACTGCAACACTGGAAGTTTGTAAGAAGAGATTGTACATTTGCATAACTATCTGAAATGGTTTCCTGCCTGAGTAGGGGGTTGGACTAGAAGACCTTTTAGGTCCCTTCCAACTCTGTTATTGTGTTATTCTGTTACATGGTGGCTTACTCTATAGACCAGGGGTGTCCAACCTTGGCAACTTTAAGACTTGTGGACTTCAACTCCCAGAATTCCTCAGC